GGGGGGGGGGTGGGGGGCGGTGAGGGGGAATCTGTGAATATGGGGGACTGTAAATTTCCACAGTTATAAATGTCTAAGAAAATTCCTTATGGTGAATGAGATTGCACAGCTGTTTTCTGTGAAATGTTATATTTTAATATTTCCATAGTCACTTTATGTCTTCTTTGTACAATGTGTTGTTATTACACAAATGTGAGGACAAATGGCAAAAATGAGATTGTCTATTTGGGGAAAGCAGAGATTATCCTTCACTTACCTAAAGGAGAAAGAATAAAAAAGAATACTTGAAAACTCACGTTCTTTTAAAAACAAACAAAAAAAAATGCATTGTTGCATTTATTACACAGTTCTTTCAGCCTTCCTGCTAAATGACTAAATTATGCCAGACTTTATTCGGACAAATGTTTTGTGCACCTTTCATACATGCTTCCAACATACATGTATTATGTATTTTTTTAGCTTTACTGTACTGCGTTGACATTCATTATCATCAACCTGTTGTATAAACATCACCTGGTGCTACATGTTTAATGTGAATGCTAACGTTCTCAGAAGGGAACACGAGATCTGTAGCAGTTACAGTTCATACACCCAGCTGTTTTTTACTGGCTCTCTGTACTTTATTGAATATACTGTATAAAACCAAGTCATTCATACGTATCTCATAATTAGGACAGCTTCTGGTGTATAAACTCAGGTGCACACAAAACCAAAGACCTGTAATTGGAGTTCTTTCCATGCACTGATAATACCACACAAATGACAAACTCGTTTATCTGTCTGTAACTCCAAATGTTTAATTATTAAAAGTATTTACTAGGACAACAAAGGTGCTTTATCTTGTTTATACTGTATGTACCTTCATTGTATGATATTGTAGGTAGATTATTGTTCGGTGTAATGCTTCATGACAAAGTTTTATTTTAATAACGTGCAAAATGAATGAGATGGACAAGAAAGGGAAATGCCATGCCTCCTTGTAAGTTTGTAAAGTGGTTCACTAAGTGCCTCCTTTACAGTTTGTTATTAAAGATCTGTACTGGTCTCTCGTTGCTCTTGCCTTTTTTTTAAATGGGATGTTTTGCAAATGTTCCCTGCGGACTGCATCTGTCACCACATGCATCAAACTGGGGAAGCATTGGAAGCTGCTTGTGCCTTGAGGCAAAAACAGGTGCACACACAACAAAGTCTGACTCCTTTTTTCTTTTCTCCCCACACTCTCAGATGAGCACATCAGTGAGTTCGCTCATCATCTGAAAGATGAGCATAAATGTACCTTTACTACAGGGAAAGCATTTAACAGGAGACATATTTATCCAGATCTATTTCTCCGTGTTCGTCGTCTGTCGAGAAGGCAGCCAGAAGCTCTCCGTTGTGTCGCGCTGCTCTCTCACCACATGTAAAGTGGCTTCGATTCCTACGTGAACATTTTGCACCATCACATAGGAATAAAAAGCCATATTACACCATGGCTCATATGTGAAAACACAAAGAGAACACAACGAGGGGTAGCGTCTCCTCACAGCTTCCTCTGAATTCACCTGTGGGGAAAGAAGCGGAAAGAGAAACGGGAGGTTATTTTCTAGCAGCTCAGACATTCATTTGTGCAAAATAAAAGGAGAAGCTACGCTGCCTGCCTGATACTGAGACGTGCTACAAAATAGGTGCAATGATGGAGTCATCAGCAGCCTCATCAAAACACAGTTTATGCACATAGATGGAATGTAGTTACTATTGCTTCCAGTTGTAGTGACCACACTGCTGTGTAAACGAAACCATCAGCTAACTGGGTGTTAATTCAAAGGTGTGTGGTGGAAAAAACAGTATAATAACTCTTAATTAATTTAGTGGGAATAATGGTTTGGCAGCACCAACAAACACATTTCTGGACAAGCAAACCCAACGCTTACAGAGCTGGGCTCGTTTTCCTCTTCCAAACTCTTTCCTAAAAGATGGAATTAAAATTCTGTGCAGCATGTTGGCGGTTGTGTTGCGTCTTGACCTTTGTTACGGTTCAGAAAAAGAGTGAGCAGTCACTGTTTCCTTCAGGGAGACAGCTGTTCACGAGACCTTTCGCTGAGATAAAATCATTACAGATAGCTCCCGTTTTGTGTTCAAATCAAAATTTGATTTAAAGCCTTAAACAAATGTGTGATGCACGTTTAAAACAATTCAAATGAACGAGGCAGAAAATACATTCAGGCTTTAAAGATGAAATTGTTTTCACTCATTTTAACATTGATATTTAAAATGCCTTCAGGACATTTTTTTTTAATGTTGCTTTAAAGTTTTGGAACTATAGTTGCAAATTCATCACAATTAAACAAAATCTACATAATTTTAGCATTAAACCCAAGTTTCAAGATACTTTGTCATTAAACCCATTTTTTTTAAGTAAGGCTCAACACACATATTTTGTCTTTTAAAAATATGGAAATCTGTAATTAATTAAAGAAGTTTTAGTCTGCCTTTCCCCAGGATTAAAAAAAATGCCTCCAGGCGTCTGATGGTGTGAACAAGCGCTGATTGTCAGGGTAATAATTGCAACAAAAAAACTTTACGAAGCCTTTGCTGATTACTTTGACATACCTTAGTGATTTTCAGCTGATATGAGCTGACAAGTTGTCATGTGTCTGCTGATGTGTTGAGAAACAACCAGCGTGTCTCAAAAAAAAAAAAAAAAGTTTAGCTTTGCTGTAATTCTCTTTATTCAAACCATTTTTAAAACCCCTCACAGCATAAACAAGGGTCAGGAAGGATGGAGATCCATCTGGTAGTGTGTGTTTTTCTGTGTGTGTCTGCACTGCTGCTGTAAATGGACACCACTGATTGAATGTAATTATATCAACAATAATTTAAAAAAAGACTGGCTGGGGTTTATTATGTGGTTTAGTTTGATTGCTCAAATTAGACACTTCAGCGTAAAAAAAAAAACACCTTGTTCAATATAAACACATGAAACAGCTTGATAAATGAGCACCGTTTGGTGAAAAATGTGCTCTAAACCAATGCTTCAAGTTGCCAGGTTTTCTTTATGTGAATGTTGCCACGTCTACAATCTCCATCATTACTTAAAGAGAAAATGCACGGCTCATTCTCTATTCAAGCTGGGATTAAAATACATCGCACCACAGGAATCTTGGCAATTCAAGGACTCATTCATGAGCACGGTGCCTGAAGGCAGCATGATTGATGACTTTGGTGACGTCAGAGCCATCAGGACATGCAGGTGATTACCGTGTCAAACTGTGCAATTATAAAAGAAGGTCAATATTACACGTGTGTGCTTTTTATACGTTTAAAAGTTATTTTCTATAAGTTTTTTTTATATTATCAAAGATGAAAGGCTTCTATTTCTGTTCATAATTTTTTTTGCGCACCTGGATTTTACCTGAGCCTTTGACGCGTGCTCGCCTTCTCTCCACGTGTGAAAATCCTCCCCTCCCCTGGGCCTTGGGTCAGGAGCTGTGGTTGATTAAGAAAGAATTAAAGCAGAGAGCTTCAGTGTGTTTTGTCACAGTTTAGCCCAGAACGTGTCACAGAGAGCGAGCAGGAGCCCCGTGCACCCCGCTGTCAGGCATCTTTTATCATCTGATCTAGGCAGAAATCCTCCAGAGACACGGTGATGCAGGAGCATGACAGGAGCGCTTTGCACTTTGAAGTAGAGTGACATTATCAGTAAGTACGGTCTTGAAATAGCATCTCTTCGTCTCCCCCTACCCCCCACTCTCCCATTTCTGAATCTCGCTCCCTGCCTCAGCTGTTCTCCGTCCTTCTTCCCCTGCATCTATTTTTCTCAGCCGCCACCCTCGTTTTTCTCCAGCTCCTCCTTCAGTCTCGATTTCCTTCTCTCCTCAGCATCAATTTCCATCTCAGCATCCCTTTTACCAGATTTCGCTCCTGCCTTTCTACATTATCTTCTTCCATTCTTCAGTCCTTCACCTTTTTTATTTTTTCCCAGCATCTCCCCCATTTTTGCACGCACCTCCTCACATTTCTTCAACCTCCCTCCCTATCTCGTGCCATCTCACTGTGGATCGTGCTGCTGGCTGCCTCTCGGGGAGGTCGTGAGATCAGGGGCAGATAGAGATGGGCTGCTGGTCAGCGGTAATGACACACAGGCTGAGAGGCCGCCCGGGTCGCCTCTCTTGGGAATGTGAGGGTTTTAGCCATTGCAGGGAAATAAATGGGTAGAAAGATGGGCAGGAATTTGTTGCACAAAAGGGAAGGGATGACTGAGCATCCCTGTCAGCAAACACGGAGGGGGGAAAGAGGTCATGATGCATTTCCACCGAGATGATATCTGAAATAATTTGTGTTTAATGGTGAGAATGGGCATGAATAATTTAGCAGAAAGAAGTTTCCCTGCTGTGAACAAAGAGGAACAAATGCTTCAAAGCTTTAAAGCAAAAATATTGATTTATTTCACAAAAACTTCCTTGGCTTGAGTAAGGGTGGATAGATAATCACTACTTGTTGTGCAAATATTTAAAAAAGGTATGAAGAAAGAAAAGAAAAACTGTCATTTTATGCAGTTAGTGGTAATTTGCTTTCATAATAGATAAAGTTTAGTAAATCTCAGGAATCCCCCAATCTCAAAATTAACTGATAGGTGAAAGAAAAATGTTTGGGCCTTTAAAACGAGTCAAAAACCTTTCAAGGCTTCAAAACTCCCAGAAGAAAGGACCAAGCAATGCTTTTCAACTGAACAAGGGCAATTATTGGATCAAAATAAACTGCTTCTCCAAAAGAAGTTAAATGGAAATTAGTGAGGCAAAACATTAAAGTGATGCCAAGCACACTTTGGA